CCAGAAGCCGGCGACTGATCTGCCTCGCCCGGGAAGAGCACAATGATGGTGCCAACTTGGGCCAGTGAAGCAATGTCCTCCACAACTAGATGGAAGAACAAAAGGACAGCAACTTATCTGTTCCCCTTCTCCCAATTCCCCAGTGCTTTTCCCATCCCCCAATTCCCCAATAAAAATCTTAAAAAAAAACCAAAAAACAAAACAAAAAAAACCTTCCATGATGCCTTTAAAAAAAAAAAAAAAAAAGATGGGGTCATCCTGGATTATTCAGGTGGGCTCCCTAAACCCAATGACTGGTGTCCTTCTAAGCAGAGAAAAGGACACACAGAAATGCGAGGGGCGGGCCGGCCAAGTGGCTCAGTTGGTTAAGAGCTTGCTCAAGAGTGCGAGCTCTGAGCAACACCAGTTCGATGCCCGGCCCGAGCTGAGCTGCCGCTGAGCTGCCAACAGGTGGCAGGATGGCTCAGCTAAAAAAAAAAAAAAGAAATGCGGAGGGGACAAAGGCCACATGAAGACACGCAGAGACTGGAGTGATGCAGCTATAAGCCAAGGAAGAGCTAGACGACCAGAAGCTGGAAGAGGCGGCAGGGAGTCTGCCCTTAGAGCTCTTGGAGGGAGCGTGACCTTGTGGGCGCCTTGATTTTGGACTTTCGGCCTCAGAACTGTGAGTGGATGCATTTCTATTGTTTTTCACCAACAGCTTTGTAGTCAGTTGTTATGGCAGCTCCAAGAAACTAACACACCAACCAACACCAAGGCTGCTCCCACAGACAGACTGACCATACTGGGCGTATTTTCAAATCTTGGGTTATCTGGGCATCTTTCAAGGACTTAGATCGAGGTTGGTGAACTTGTTTTGTGAAGGGCCGGATGGTACGTATTGTAGTGTAAAAGCAGCCATGGATAATGCATACACAAATCGTACGATAAGTCCTAATGAAACTGAAAATAGGCTAGATTTGGCCTGGGGGCTGTCGTGTGTGCTGGCCCGTCTCAGACCGGTCACTTTTGCACTATGGAGAGGCCACTTACAGCAACAACCACATGAAGTTCCCCAAATAATGTCTCTTAACCTATGTAATCAGCAAACACAGGCAGGACCCTTGTGCAGCCCGCGGCATAACAAGAACTAGACAGCTGTACAAGAGGCAAGCGTTCCCGAAAAGACTGCACAAGCATCGCCTCCTTTGAGAAGGAAAACAGAACCATGGTTTTCTGAGTGATTCTCATGGCCAGCAATAAGGAGGCTACCTTATCCGTTTGGGGGAAAAAAAAAAAATTCAATTGCGTTTGTTCAAATTTCTCCCAGAACAGAAACTATTATCTCTTTCAATAGTAATACCCTGGGTGCAGACATAAATATTTATGCGGTCTCCAGTGGAGGCAACGGGAAACATACTTGGGGTCATAAAAGGATAAGATGTTTGGAAGAGACGAATAGCAAGTGTTTGAATGTACGGGTTGTTTAAAGCTTCTCTCCAAGTTCAGGCAAACATTATTACTTAGGTCATGAAATTCTAGAAGAAAAAGAAATTCCTAGGGTATCGCCCTACACGGAGGCGAGCAGCTGTTATGCTTGTCCCTACATGCAGGGAGGGATCTGAGCAGATGAGCGAGAAGAAATGATGCGACAGCAGCTTCTAGGTGTTGACATGCTCAAGGGCAGGGGTTCTCCACTGGGGACGGTTTCTGGTTCTCACAAGTGGGTGCAGGGGTGCTACTGGCATCTAGTGGGTGGAGGTCAAGGACGCGGCTCAACGTTCTACATGCACAGGACGGCCCCTCACAAGACAGAAGTATGTGCTACAGCTGAGAGAGGAATGTGGGAGAGCCCGGGGGCCAAGTGGACCCCAGACTTACCCGAGCAGGCACAGGCTTCCGCAGGAGAGCCAGGTGAGGGCGCCGGCGTTGTAGGACAGCTGAGTCACGATCATCTTGTTGCAGGAAGGACAGCACATCTGGACTGGGCGGTCAAAGAAGGAGACTGGCTGTTGCACGTAGACTGTCTGCACGGCAACTGATGGAGGGGAAAGGAACAGACAGAGCCCGATCAGTAAACAAGGAAGACATTGATTGCATGACAAAAGACGGAGGCAGGGTCTCCACAGACACTTGCGCACACACGTTCATGGCAGCACTCTTCACGAGAACCAAAAGGTGGAAGCGACCCAAGTGCCCATGGGTGGATGAATGGATGAGCAAAATGTGGTCTTTCCATACACTGGAACATGATTCAGCCACAAGGAGTGTGAAGTCCTGACCCACGCTTCAACCTGGATGAACCCTGAGGACATTATGCTAAGTGTGAAATCAGCCAGCCACAAAAAAATGTGTGACTGCTCATTTGTGAGGCACCTAGAGTAGCCAAAAGTCACAGAGACAGAAAGTAAACGGTGGTTGTCAGGGGTTGCGGGTGGGGGGGTGGGGGGGACGGGAGTTGGTGCTTAATGGAAACAGTTTGTTTTACAAGATGAAAAAGTTCTAGAGATGGATGGATGGTGGAGGTAGTAGTTGGACGACATCGTGAATGTTGCAAATGCCACTGAAGTGTACACTTAAAAATGCTTAAGATGATAAATTTTATGTTGTGTATTTTAAGAATGGTGGGTTGGGGCGGGAGCAAAGGATCGGGGGGAATGACAAAAAGGGAAAAAGAGGAAACAGTGGCAGATTTCCAGAATTATCACTTGAAACCTCCACACACGAGACGGGGAGAAGGACTGTGTCCTGGAGGAGGGCCCTGGCCCAGCTCGGCCAGGCTTTCAAGCTGCCCAGGGAATCGCATGGGGAGCTTATCGAGAACAGATTCCTGGGCCCCATCCCCCAAACTCCTTTTTAAGCTCCCTGAGTGGTTCTACGAAGGTGGTCTGCAGATGGTCATTTCAGACTCTGTGATGTGGTGGGTTTTAGCTCCCATTTTCTTCACCCACAAATTAGTGGTGGCCAGGGGCTGGGGCAGGGGAAATGGGGAGTGACTGCCAGCGAGCACGGGGTTTCTTTCTGGGGTGCTGGGAACGCTGTGGAATTAGTTCTGGTGGTTGCGCAACTCTGTCAATACACTAAACCCACTGAACTGTACACTTAAAAAGAGTGAACTTTATGGTCGGGTAATTAGATCTCAAGGAAGCTGTTACTTAAAAAAAATGGAAGTAACAGAGTTGTCGCTAGGATTAAATGAGATAAAGCTGGTAAAGAAAGAACCTTACACCGTGCCTGGTACAGTGAGCCCTCAAGCACCAATTCCCTCTTTTCACAGGAAGAGGCTCCTTAGTCAACTCCAACACCCAGTGATAAGACTGGAGTTGATTATCGAGCCAGGGAACACCGGCCCAGTTCTTTACAAGTCGGGGAACCGTGTTGCTACATGAAATGGGCATATGAAATCATGCTAAAAAGAGAAAACTGTGGAAACGTGTACAGACAGTCGCAATCATCAGAAGAGAATCTAGGCGATGCCAGCCCTTGAATCCTTTAGAGCTTTGCATGTTCTTTTTGGTTTTTGGCAAAGTTGTTTAAGCTCCTATTTCTGTCAGAGAGACTTCCTTCTGTTCGTTTTTATGCTGCTGGAATGCCATTTCTATAATCTATGTATTAGGGGGAATTAACGATTGTCCAGAACTAACTGAGCCTATACTCCTAGAAACACCCTCCTTCCAGAAAAGCATTACTGAAGCATACTTTAGCACTTACATATACATTTTATTAGTTTTTTTTTTTTTTGGTGCAAGAATGAGTTATTTATTCAGCAGAGCACGATCTAAAATAGCCTGAAGTCATTATCTTACCCTCTTCTATCTCAAGTCAAAGTTACTTGAGCACGTTTATCAAATGATTACTCATAAAACTTTATTTCATTTTAATGCACTGACGTAGGTACTTGAATGAGCCCCTGTCTTACAGATGGGGAAACCGAGGCACAAGGAGGTGAGGTGAGCCCAGTCAGTGTGACTCACTCTCTGATCTGGGGATTCTTTCTGACTCAGCTACATACGTGGAGAGCAGGAAGCACCCAAGGACAAGGTGATGAAGTTGCCAGAAGGCAGGGGAGCAGTCTCTGCAAATGGTGAGCTGGGGTGGGTTTCAGCTCACCCATTCCTCACTCATGGCTGCTTCTTCTGCCTGTCCTACGGCAGCCCTGGCCTTGGGGCAGGGGTTTTCGCATCAAACCTCAGCAGGAAGGGTGGGGGTCCTTAAAAGCCAACTCTCATGGCCACATTTCTCTAGGATAGTTGATGTGCCTCTATGTGATAAGCACCCAAGGACTGGTTTATGGCGGGCTTGGAAAAGCTCATAAACTGCTTTACTATGGAAAAGCCACAAGTGTCACTGATGTGGAACCTAAAAGACTGCATGTGACATTTCGGGATGAGGGGTACAAGGGACCAGGGAGGCTGCACGTACTTGCATTGGCGTTGGGGACGGGCATTGGCTGGGTGTAGTACGCAGGAGGGTTCATGCCCTTCCCATCCGGGCCTGTCACGAGCCCCGTGGCTGGCCCAGGCACGGGTGCAGTGGGCGTGGGGAAGAAACTGTTAACGGCCACTGTCTCTTCATAGGTTGGGGGCGCGGTCGGCACCGACGAAGGCCCAGCGGCTGCCTGGTAGGATCCTGGGGCAGACATTTTACCTAAAGCGAAACCAGAAGACACCAGATCAGAAATTTAATGGACGTCTTTCTCTTTTCCACTGTCGACGTTCATTTTCTACCTGACAAGCAGAAAAATCTGAGAAAATGGCTTGTGTCCAGCTTTGTCCGCAGGCCAGAAGGGGAGTTCAGGTCCCTTCAAGACCCAAGAATCCTCACCTTAACAGAGATTCCCTAAATAAAAACGAAAGGTAAATAATGACAAACTAAAAGCGCCCGAGCCTAGAAAATCCCAAGGGCAAACATCAACCGAATTTGAGCAGAAGTTTCTTCACATTTCAAACCACTACCCTGTCTTTCATATCTAGTGGTTTTTCTTTCTTTTTTTAAACCGCCATGGTTTTTACAAATAGGGTTTCAGGTGAATAAAGAGACAAATGCATTCAAAAACCAAATATAGTGCCGAACGAAAAAAGCCAGACGCCAAAGGTACATGCTGTGTGATGCCATTTACGTCAAGTTCAGAAACAGGCAAAATGAATCATGGCGCTAGAAGTCGGGAAAGTGGTGACTCTGGCGGGGGCAGAGAAGGGTCTGGAAGGGGCGAAAGGAGGGCCTTGGCGGGGGGAGGGGGGGGTCAGTCACATTCTCTTTCTTCACCTGGGGGCTGGTGACATGGGTATGTTCACTGTGAAAATTCGAGTTGTCAAGTTATGTGCCCTTTTCGGTATGTAAACATAGTTTATAATAGTTTATTTTTTCAACACACACACACACACACACACACACCCCAGTTCCCATTTTGAAAAATGAGTATCAGAGCAGCCAGACACATATTTCCTTTTGTGAGGGCAAAGAAAGGATTTTTTTTCTCATGAGCTGCTGCCTGCCTAGAATTACATGGCCTGTACCCAGGGTGTGTTCCTGTCTGAAGGCCCATGCTCACAGCCCCAGGGCAACCGGAACAGGACACAGTGCTTTCCTTTGTGTGGCTCTATTTTCCAGCGGGGCAGAGCCCAGGCTGCTGTGTTAGAAGATCCATTCAAACCTGTCTCAGGAGAACTGGGCATCTGAGCTCCCAGGGCAGCGAGCCACGGTCCGGGGGCTCGGACAGGCCTGCCGCCCCTTCCCACGCATGCTGCCTCATCTTCTAGAACCCGTGGGAAGCAGAGGCAGCAATTAATTCTGCTGCAGGGAAAAGGGGAGAATCCTTCAAGGAAGCTCGGCCATTAAGCTGAGCACGAAAGAGGAGATTTCTCTGGGGGGAAGAGAAGAAAGGGCATTCATTTCAAAGTGGGAAGAGGGGCATGGGAAAGGGAATACATGCAATACGAAGTCAATACATTAAGTTAGACAGGTTGGGCCGGGTTCTAGAGAATTTTGAAAGTCCTCTGGAGGTGTTTTGGCTTTATAAGCCTGTGCTGTCCGATGGAACTTTCTGGAAGGATGGAAATGTTCTCTATTTTGGGCTATCCAATAGGGTCGTCACCAACCACATGAGGCTGAACACCGAGGAACTCAATTTTTAAATTGTACTTAAGCTTAAGCAATTTATATTTAAAATCGAATACTCAATTCAACTACTGGAAATACGTTTATTTAAGTCTTGGACACCCTGGGTACGTGAATCTACTTTTCCAAGAGCAAACTTAATCGACTCTGAACTGAGGTCAAATGTTTTTGATAAAATTTTAGCATCCACTTTAGGACATGATGTGAATGTAAAATACACCCTGGACTTCAAAAACTTAAACACATGAATGTGAAATGTCTCGTTCATCATTTTTTTATATTGGCTGTATGTTGAAATGATACTATTTCAGATTGATGGGAGTTCAGCAAAATATGCGGTCAACGTTCATGTCATCTGTTTCTTTCTAACTTTTAAAAATGTGGCTACTAAGCAATGTAAAATGACCGATGCGGCACATCTTCTGGTTCTACGGGATGGGAATGCTATAGAGACACGGAAGCCACGGGAGGTTACAGAGAGGAGGTGGTCCAACCCTGGAAAGGGCAGAGGACGCAGGTCTGTAAGAGAAGCAAGCGGCTGGGTGGAGGGGACCAGAGGACCGACACAGGTCTACAGGGGAGGGTTAAGTCGGAGGGCAGATGGGTTTAACAAGATCACAGGACATCTTTGTGAAAACAGGCTGAGGGATTTAAAAAACGGGAACATCGTGAAAAGCGGTTAAGGAGTGTGGCCAGTTTCCCCTGACTTACAGGTAGAAGAAGGGCCACCAAGATCAGGCCCAGGACACTTCTCTATCACGCTCACCCCCTAAGTCAGCTGACGGTCCCTCAGGCCGGCCCCAGGAACTCCTACATCTGCTTCTAACAGGGACTGGGCAAGGAGACTTTATGGGGAACGGGTCAGGGTGCTCTGCAGTCACTTACATCCTTGTCCGACATCAAGGACGTGCTGTCCCTTCCTGTCTCAGGAAAAGGCAGACCCACATTTATTATGAAAACTGAGTCATTTAAGAGCAGACAACGCCATGCGTGCAGAGGGCCTAAAATAGCGCCGTTTGCTGTGGCTGCAAACGGAATGCTTCGGGAGGGAAAAATAAGATCTGAGGTGTTCTAAATTGTGCAAATAGTTTGGTCAAACCGCGGGACGTCAATGACTCAACTCAGAAGTGGAATTCCTCTATTTCCAAACCACTGTCTCTCTCCTCTAAAAGTAAAGAAACGTGGCCAGAAATTGTATGGTAAAGAGTGAGCAGAACAACAAAAAACAAAAAAGAATTAAACAGTTCAAAAGTTGAAAAAAAAAGAAAAAGAAAAACAGAGTGGACATACAAGTGTCAGGAGATGAGGGCCTTATGTCCATGAACTGTAAAGGAGCCCCTTGTTCTGGAAATTAAGGCCCGGGGCCCCCCATTTATTGACCAGGTATCCTCTTTCTTGTGGTCACAATCCTATTCTCTGGAGCCCAGGACACTGCCTCTTAGGAACATGGCTTTTGGATCCAACAGTCACATAAACACACTTATAATTCCGAAAAGAACAAGAGCAACAAACTAGAATAGAAAAAAAAAAAAAGAAAGGAAAGAAAAAGCAACAACCCATAACTAGCTGGTTTGAAAGCTTTCTAAATAAATTCCACCGCATTCCTGCCCCAGGCCAGGAAATGCCACTTCACTCAGTCCCATTTCTTTTTCTGTTCACCGTCTCCCCCCACCACCACCATTTCTTTTTAATTTGGATTCACCGAGGGACAGGAGACCCACCTACCGACCATTCCAGAAGGGTTTGCTCAAGCTGCCTCCACTCCCTCCTCCTAACCCCCCCAATAACACTTAAGAGCAGCAGTCTCTCACCCCAAAACACACACACACACACACACACACACACACACACACACACACTGTCACCAGAGAACCCTTTGTTATTCGGATCAGGCTGCCTGTGTGCTGAGGCCGCTAGCACGTCTAATATTTGTGTCCCTTTTTCTGGGACAAACTGGAAGCCCTAAGAAAGCATCTCTGAGTGTAACAAAACAGCAAAGCCACAGTTTTGCACATAAAAGCACAGCCTTGAGAATCCTGGGCGGTTGGGGCCCGTCTCTGCAGGGCCCTGGTTGTTATGGCTACAGGCAGCTTTGTGGGGAGACATAAAAGAACAAACAAGGGGGTCTCCTTCCTCCTTCCCCAGTTGTTTAACTTTGTTCTTAAGCCCCTGAGAGTGGCTTTCTCGATTGTCCCTTTAAAAGAACACTAGTAGAAGGCCAGTCTCCAACCACCTCCCACCCGCCCCCACAGAAATGTAGGAAGGGTTGGGAATTTCTGTTTTCATCATCTCAGAAGGACTCTTTTATTAGCTACTTCCAAATCCAGGGAAGCATTCCAAACCCATATTTTAAATATGGAAAATGTGACCAGGCTGGCCTCCCGGGCTCGTGACCTGCACAGTCCCACAGCGCCCTCCACTCAGAAGGCCCCACGCTCAGTGGAAACTCTGCCGCTGCCATCTTGAAATCCTGGGGACTTCGGGAAGGAGAGGTCCCACGTCGCCCTGGGGCAGCGTGTTCTCGCCAAAGGTGACCCCTGGTCACAGAAAAGGGAAAGGCGGTGTCCCTGATCCGTGGAGTTACATTTCTGTTACAAATACAGGGCTTGGCTTTGAAAGCTGGCTCATGACCAGTCGCATAATCCTGGCCCCTCATTTCTCATCCGTAAATGTGCCACTTGGAATTCTGGTGTCCGTAGCTGAAAATGCTCCTTGTCCCAAAGTCTCACTGATAGTCTCTCCAAGGGGAAGGGAGGGGCATAGAGATATTTATTCCAGGGCCTGCAGGGATGAGCGTGGGAGGAACTCATTCATGAACCCGGTAGAGAACAGAATCTCTCAATCTTGTTTTCATTACAGCTGCCTCCCCCACTACCCTCCCACCCACCCCCTGCCCTAAGGAGAAAAATTAAATTATATTTAAATTTAATTAATTAATTTAAATATAATTTAATTTCTGCCTAACACGAGAAATGAAATACTAAGAAATAAGGTTTCGTTGGTTAGGGTTGAGTTTTGGAGGGCCACACACCACTGTAATATCTAAGACTTTTTTTTCCACTTCGCCCCTCCCCCAAGAATGGATTTTTTACTCCCTTGGGTCCCCACTGAGAAGCCACCGTGTGGGTCCAGTGAGTTTTCCAAATCACCAACATGTATTCACTTAGCATTTCTAAAATGTGCCTCCTCTTTTCTTACTGTCATAAATGCAATCATCCAAACACATTTTAATCTTTTACTGACCAAGTCCTAATGTCCCTTACATCTGTATGTTCTTTTACAGGCGCCCAGCCTTCTCACGCCTTCATCTCATGAGCCACAATGCGGGGGAGGAGGTGAGCAGGATGGGGTGACCACTTCCTCTTATCACCTGTCTCTCATCTGGGTCTTGAATCTGCTGCGTCCTTACCCCAGGAAGAAAGTGAAGATTGTTACGGAGTACCAGATAGCCAGGCTGCTAAAACCTTACTTCGGCATCTGTGAATCTAGAGGTTCTGGCCTGAGCAAAATCTTTCACGCCCCACTCCCAC